ATTTAATGTTTTTCTATTACTGTTTTGTCCGTGACTTCCGGATATTTCTGCTCTGTAGTCATTATAGTATATCTATAGATTAGTGCTATATAGGATTCTTACATATTTTCATATATTTACATTTTTCCGGGTGAAATTTGAGTAGCCATTTGTCACTCCAGGATTCCATCTTGTTAAGGTCTTCTTGTAGAATTTGTCTGTCTTTCTGGGTTTTTATTATTCTAAAGATCTTGATATCATCCGCAAATAGGTATGCATCAGAATCCACTTGGTCTGGAAGATCATTTATATATAGAACAAATAGTAATGGTCCTAGTACTGATCCTTGGGGTATCCCAGATGTAACGTTAGCCCAGTCTGATTCTTCACCATTCACTATGACCTTTTGTTTCCTATCTTTTAAGAAGCTTGTTATCCACCCTACTATATCTTTACTGACAACTAGATTTTTGATTTTGGCTATTAATCTTTTATGAGGTACCTTATCAGAGGCCTTCATAAAATCAGTATATATGCAGTCTATGTCTAAACCTTGATCTAATGCCTCTGTCCACTTATCAATCACTTCTAATAATTGAAGACCAGTTGACCTCCCTGCAATAAATCCGTATTGCTTTTTAGAGAATAAGTTGTTCTTTTTCATATGCTCTATAATAAATTCACGCAATATCTTCTCCATTATTTTGCATACTACAGATGTCAAACTGACTGATCTATAATTTTTGGCTAGTGACTTATTACCCTTTTTAAATATAGCACTTATCATAGCATTTTTCCAATCGTTAGGTACTGTCTTACTTTCAAGTGATTGATTATATATTATACATAAAGGATTTGCCAATGATTCAGCGATCTCTTTTAGCAGCCTAGGGTGTAGTTTGTCCATACCTGGAGATTTATCTATTTTCAATGCATTTAAGTGTTTCAGCACTACTTCTTCCTTTATTTTCTGATTTGACATTACATTAGTTACTAATACCGGCGTTGGTGATGGCACTACTCCGTCAGGTTCCTTGGTGAATACGCTGGAAAAGTATTCTACTAGTAATTTGGCCTTCTTGCTATTATCCTCCGTTTTATCTGATTTTGTGTCTTCTGGATCCAGGTGTAAATCCCCAATTCCTTCTTTGGTTTTAGTTTTTGACTTGATATAACTCCAGATAGCTTTTGGGTTTTCTTTAGCTTTTTCAGACAGATTTTTCTCATATTCCCTCTTCAACTTATTTACTCTACTTTTTACTTGATTCCTTATCTTATTGTATTCTTTCCTCACATCTGGGTCGTTATTATGCGTTATCTTTTTTGAGAGGATGTTTTTCCTTTTAATTTTATCTATGGTGTTTTTATCCATTGGAAAATTGTTTTTCCCTCTACCGATTTGTTTCCTTTCTTTTGTTGGTATATATTTTTTGTCCATATCTTGAATTATACTTAAAACTGATCTCCAATTTTCGTTTACATCATTTTCTTTCTGTAGTAATTCTGACCATTTAATGTTATCTAGTTCTTCTTTTATTTTTATGTAGTTTCCTCTATTAAATAATTTAATTATTTTTGGTTTACTTTTAATATTTGTATAGCAACTAAAGTCAAATTTCATAGTGCAGTGATCGCTTTTTCCCAGTGGACTTTGGTATTCTAAATTTGAGATCATAATTTCCTCATTTGTTAAAATCAGGTCTAGGGTATGGGTGTATTTGTACCCCTCCATCGTGTTGGTCTTGTAACATGTTGAAATAAGAAGTTTTCTTGTAGATTCTCTAAAAATTTGTATTCATTACTTTCTGTACTTTCACCTGGTGAATTCCAACTGTCCCAGTTTATTTCAGGAAAATTATAATCTCCCATTAATAGGATATGTGAGTAGCCTTTACTACAAGCTTCAGTGGTAAGCGTATTTAATTGTTTAGTGTGTTCCTGTGATCTGTTTGATGGTGTTCTGTATATTAGGCCTAATAATAGCTGGTCTGACTGGTTTAAATTAATCTTAATAAATAAGTTTTCTTGGAATTCTGTATTCATTTGGACCTGTGATGCGTCCAGTTGTTTATCTATGTACAATAAAAGACCTCTGCCTGTGTCAACGTCTAGGTTTTTACCAAACATGTTGTAATCGGATACATCGGCTAAAGAATATTCTGAAATTCCTGGTTTGTACCGATTATTTTTAGGTTTAACCTCTGTAATACCAATTATTTTTGGTTTATCGTCTCTTGTTCTTACTGTTAATTCAGGCAGCTTGTTGAATAACTGATCTGCATTTGTGTATATACAGCTTAATTTGGGTAAAACTGTAAAATTATCTGTTTTTACATTTTTAAAAACCTTTTTACCATTAAAATTATTTACATTCTCTTTTCCTCTTTTATCTTTTAGGAGTCTAGCTTCCTTAATTTCACAACCTTCCTTGCCCAAGGTGGGCCCCTTACTTTGAAATGGTAGTCCCCCGAAATCTCTTCTTCGGTTTGTCTTCTCGCTTGATCCCACAATCTTTTCTCTTGCTCTCTTTCTGCTTGGGTTAGGTCGTTACTGACTCCCACTTTTTCGTATTTTGGGTTTGTTTTTATATAATGGATGTTTCTAAATAGGGTGATCTTAGGTTCTGCACTAGGTAATTTTACTAGGATTGGTCTATTTAGCTTTTCTTTGTTAAATTTCCCAAGTCTTTTAACCATTTTCAAATTTTCCTTATCCAGTTTTATTTTGCAGTCTGTAAAGACCTCGTTTAGTTTTTCTTTGTCAGTATTATCTCTTACTTCTTTGCTCTCGTCATCTATTTCTATGTACTATAAAAGAAGAGACAAATGATTTCACATTAAATCCTGTAACATTACATCTAAAGATAATTATAATCCAAAGTAAATTATATTACGATGTCAATGGACTAAATTCCCGCGCAAATGTCATCACTGGGATAGACCAAAACGAATTTTAGGTTTATGTATCATTCACATTCCGATCAATTTACTCAGTTACATAAAATATATTTGTTACGCAGATAGCCCTCAATACTATACACCAACTCGACACTGAAGCTAAAAAACCCTAAAACATAATGTATATGGAATCGTCCAAACGGATTACCTAATATTGATATAGGTGAAATATGTAGATTCAGAATTGTGTACACAGAAATAAGATCAGAAAACAATAACACAACTGTATAAAATCATTGTTTATTACATTTGCTTGCATAAGAACCATGAAGTTAAAATTTATAACGATTACGTTTATCCTGTCAACCCCTTTTCTTCATTGCATCAAGGCTTCCGTTGCTTTACATCGAGCAGCAATTCAACCAATCGGGGAATGTTAAGTTGGGACATACCTCTATTTTTGGAAGCGTGATCTTTACATCGAGGCTTGCGTTGCTTTACACCGAGGCCACAGTAGTTCGACCAATCGGGGAATGTTTATTTGGGGCATGTGACCTATTGAACTGCAGGTTTTATAATATTTTAATCGAAATTGTAGAAAAATGAAATGTTGTTAGTACATACAAAACAGAAAATGATGAATACTTTTAGTAAAAGATAATTTGGATCCGGGTTCTGTGTATTCACATCATTTGTACAACTCTCCTTACTGATGCCATTTTTTGGAATTTCTGTGACCTAAATGGTTCGTGAAAATTAAATATAGTATATTAATAAGTCTTTGTTCATCATTTGAAATTTGAATTGTCTCTCTTTTGGCGAATAGTTCTTGGTACTAAATCTCATTTTTTAATTCTTTTCTACAAAAATAAATAATTTCAAACTGGTAGAATTGTGGCCGAATGTGGCCAGTTTAGGTTTTGCCTTTTATGATTTTAGGAGTTTTTGTTTGTGTATGATTCATTTGAGGATTTACCCCTGGTACTACTTTTTTGTCTGAAACATTCCCACTGTCAACGTATATTTGTTCCGCCTAACAGATGTTCCACTAGAAACTTTGTTATAAACAATGCCGTAATATCTGTTCCTGTTGGAACAAATATTCTATATCATTTATTCCGTTAGGAACATATACTGTAATATTTATTCCGCTGGAAATAAAATTCCAGAATACTTTTTCCATTTGGAACTTATATTATGAAGGAACTTCTATTTCGTGACACCACTGACATTGTTCGAATTAAGTGCAAATTGTATTAAACATGTCGAATAATCATAATACAAAACGGTATTTCAATAAATCAATGACAAATAATACTAGTAGTATACAGTCTTCTTTTTTTAATTCTTTGTGCATTTCATCCACCTTCTGACCTTTGATAAATAACGGTTTTGTGTAATTTCCCGTCCTTTTTCATTTGTAGTATCAGAGACATATTTTATTATATGTCTCTGGTAGTATTGACATCGGTATATTTTCGAGCCTTCAAATCATTAGCGAAATAGATTCTAGACTGAATACCAACGCGTTGACTACTGAAAAATTGTCACTTTCGATAAGTAAAATTTTCGAATTTAATAATGCTCGGTAAACATTGCATTTTAAAGTTTGAAAATCTAACTATCTCTAGTGGATAAATATCGTAATCAACGGACGGTGTAGAACGACTATGACCATTCACGAGAAGACAAGTTGATGGAAAAGTAATTGTATATAATACAAATCCTTGTTTCATCCACTTGATCATCCTCTTGTGCCATGCCTCTATATTCTATATCAATTTTTATTTCAGAGGCATATATATAAAACAATGTATTGTATTACATGTCTTGTCTTCTCGTGAATGGTCATAGTCATTACAAACTCGCCACAATTCACTGGTTTATATAGATTTAAAGTTTCTAAATATATACATGACATAACACTTTAATTCTTTATTAAAATACAACTAATTGCATAAGGAATAAAACTAAATTTCATATTTAAATCCCACAGATAATAATTTCAGCCATAAGCATAAGTGTCGGAACATGTTACCTGGCGACAGGTAAACAAATTAACGTACCCGAATTGTAAGACGAGTCCTTTGTTACCAAATCAAGCATGATTTAAAGATAATACGGTTCACCCGATAGATATACCCGACAAATCGATCTATTTCGGTTATTTCCGTGAGAACAAAATTAGAACGTTGAACACATTTATCGGTTCTTTCCAAAAGGAATATAGTACTTAATGTGAAATACAAAATATATTGTTACAGGAATTTACATAACATTGTGATGATATGATGGTTTCATAATTAGGAGATATTTATAAGTGTAATAATGTCAGAGGACACATTATGTGTTGGCGATTCTGTTTGTCTTTATGCCACAGAGAGCTATGGATTTGTTATGTCCACACAATCAAGGTGGGTGTTTTAAAAGGTTGAAATCGATTTTGAAGTAAATCTTAGCATGATTGTCTTGATTTTGAAAATGAAAGTTTCTTATTGCCTATATAATAACCTAAAGAAGTAAGTGCCTCATTTACTTATGGATATATACGGCTGAAGAAACGAAGAATAGTATAAAGAACGAGTGATTAAATAAAGAAAAGAAAGCATTAAATAAATCCCTTCATGATGTTATTTTGAGCGTCTAAACTTATGCATAAACAACTAAACATTTGAGCTGGTATAGGGATTGTTGTCATCTTTCTAGTTTCATCGTCAGTTTTCATCATGTAAAGCATCTTCATTTTATTGGGTATAATCGTCTAACATACTCCACGAGATTTTCCGAAATACTTTAATTTCAAATAATGAATGGTAGTACATATCAGTTGAACATCTGCTTTTTGGAATAGCCCCAAACCGAAAAGTTGTGAATTCACTGAGGCTGTGTTTGGATATACGCCAGAGGTGGCCTATGGTTATCCATAGGTACCTTTGGTTTGATATTCTATATATCAAAATATCAAACCATGGGTACCCAAAGATACCTATGGGTAACCATAGGCTGCCTTAGGCGTATATCCAAACACAGCCTGAATCGCCTTTCTGGAGTAACCACCAAGTCCGTATGTATATCTATTAACCACTAGGAATGATTTGATTTGATTTGATTTTTGGTGTTTTAACGCCACTTTTAAGCAACGCTTTTGGGCTATTCCGTGGCGGCCAGTTTTTATTGGTGGAGGAAGCCGGAGTGCCCGGGGAAAACCACCGACCTTCGATAGGAAAACTGACAATCCTAGGCTGTGTTTGGATATACGCCAGAGGTGGCCTATGGTTATCCATAGGTACCTTTGGTTTGATATTCTATATATCAAAATATCAAACCATGGGTACCCAAAGATACCTATAGGTAACCATAGGCTGCCTTAGGCGTATATCCAAACACAGCCCTAGTCAAGTAAGATTGGAGTCGAGTGCACCCGCACGAGAGCGGGGTTCGAACTCACAACCTCAGTGTTGACTGGCTAGTGATTACAGTAGTAACTACTTAGACCACTCGGCCACCGAGGCCCCACACTAGGAATGAAGGCAATAGCATAAACAAATATAATAAGGTTACCTATTTTCAAAAGAATACATTTATTGGTCATTTTACTTATAAACAAAAAATCAGTTTACATTCAGGTATCAAATTCGTAGCAAACTCTCTTAAGTGGGGAACTGACAATTTCTATTTCTATATGAAAACACCTTATGATATAAAGGTATGTGATTTGTTGTAAAAGAAGTAAAAGTAGTCAAAAGATTATAAGATAGAACACACAGTTCTTGCTTAAAACATACCTATAGCTCAGCCCTTCACGTAATTAGACCAAGTTAAAGTAGGATTTATTAACATGGTAAAATATATATACCCACATACATTAAAACAACCGATGGAATAAATGCACACTAGCGATCACAATTTCCATTGCTTTTATTGGATCTGATACCAATTGTGATAAGTGTTGTCGCAGTTTATGCTACAGTTTCATTTATTAGTGTTTATTTGGCAAATAACACGGTTGACCTTCGTTTTAAAACAGTTTAATGAAGATTTAAATGCAGTAGAGTTCTAAAAATGGTACTAGTAGGCCTTTATTTGGCAAGTGGCTGGAAGAGCAGAGGGATCAAACAAAAGAGAACATCAATACCAATTATATCTACTGGTTGCTTTGATAAAGTTATTTTAAACCATAGCAGAAAATTTAAGTCGTTGGTCTTATCTCCGTGTAAATCCCACTGGCGAACATCATGTTCAAATATACTCTTACTTACTATAGTATCGAAATCATATATTATTGGATTTTGACTTAACAGATTCTATAAAGTACTATTTTTGCAATGTAATGACTATTGATCTTACGAGTCGACACACATGCAGTTTACCTTTGACTATATATACTATACACTATGTATTAACTCAAAGGTAAATAAGTCGGTCATGTTCACGTAAATCGATGATTTGCTTTGTATATTGAATTTCGAATATGGATTTCCAACATTTTCTCTTTTACAGCTTCTCATGACACTTTTTTTGTGAAAATAAACCTGAGACACAAATATGCGCAAAATATATAGGATAAGGAGAAAATTAATGACTTGGACGATTCTAAGGGAATATTGCGTGTACTGCCCTTTTTGGCCATTAAACAATACTGTTTGGTTATAAACCGTCATTAAAGCAGTAGTTTTTATACCACTTCATCCAGAAACAGTTTGTTAATTTTTAAACTTCATGAAAGACAACAAAACTATAAAATCTTAAAAAATGAAATTAGAATTCGAAGAAACCTTCAAAATCTTGATTTTCAATCTTCTATTAGTTTTGCAATTTAGAACCACAACTACAACCTGGTAGGTGGCAAAATATAGAAAGGGACAACTGACTATAATATATACGCCTAAAAAGTGTACACAACAACACCAATATTGAAAAAAGGAAACAATGAATATAAGTATCTATAAATATTTCGGATAACAGATATCCTTCATCAGTATTATCATGATCATGTAAAATAGATCACACCAATCTATTCTGATTTAACTAAAACAATCTTTAACGATATACAAATTTAAACCCGAACCAAGCTTGTATTATTCTACTATTTCAAAGTTGACGCAGGTTAAGTATTTACAACAGAGACTGCATAGATATGCATCCAAAAAGAATAGTTATGTGCGATATGAGCTGGTACAATTCTAAAATCTCACAGGGGACGAAAGTTAAGTAATTACAGCAGAGACTGCGTAGATATACATCCCCAATAAATAGCACTGTTCGATTCGAACTGGTATAGTTCTACAATTTCAAAGTTGATGAAGGTTAAGTAATTACAACAGAGGTTGCGTATTCATACATGCAAAATGAATAGCACTGTTCGATTTGAACTGGTATAATTCTTAAATTTCAAAGTCGACGAAGCTCAAGTAACTACAACAGAGGCTGCGTATTTATACATCCCAAATGATTAGGACTCTGCGATTTGAACTGATATAATTCTAGAATTTCAGAGTTGACGAAGGTCAAGTCGGAATTACAACAGAGACTGCGTAGTTATACAACCCAAATGAATAGCACTGTGCGATTAGAACTTCACCTTTTTATTGATCATATTTGTGACCAACGTTTTTAATTTCTTGTCCAAAATCTTTCCCGAGTGATTTTCTCCTCCCTAGACAAAGCAGTGTTGTGGTCTATGATGGTAAAAGTCATTCGATTGACATATGCCTTAGTTGTGGCTAGAGGATCTCAAATGTCGGCTGAGAGAAAGGTCTGGATTGCATTCATAGTCACTATACGATGGACGTTCATACGTTTGTGAAATGACTGTTCTGACTCACCAACATACTGTTTACCATGCATATACAGTGTAGAAGAATATTACAATAATAATAACTAAAAACGTGTCTAGATAAATAGATTTCCAAGATTGAAGGACCTTCAGGAGCCTAAATTTTTGAAAAGTAAAAGTATATATGTATCTGTAATGCTTAATGCATCCGCCCTGGAAATATATGTGTTAGCGGAAATAAGTGAAATTAGGCATTAAGCTTAAATCCTAGGCAATAAGCTGACGCCAAGGCAGCAGGTCTATTGCCTAAATAATGTTAGGTAAATAATGTTCTAGTATTTGCTTGCAAGTCCGACATCGTTTGTTTCCACAACCATGCAAGAACCCACAGATCAAGAGCCTGATTTAGGGGGATTTTGGACCTAAGAAACGCCAGGATAGTTTAGAATGTTTTTCGATTTTTTCCAATTTTCGCGGATAAAGTGTGATAACTTGTCAAATTTCAGCACGAACGGAACTCTTTTGTTGACACTTTTCTATAGATATAATTTATAAAAGACAAGATCACTACATATTAAGATTTCCAAGAACAAAAGAATATTCATTTCATACTTATTTTACCAACAGACACAACCCAGTTAAATTTCTAAAACTGATGTCATGTGATGGTAAATAAGTTCCGTAAAAAAAACTTTGAATTGAACATTCTCGAGATTGAATGCCATATATAACTTAAGCTGATTTAATATAACATATTACCCAACATCAAAATGTCCCATATTTAGTAAAGGGAGTTCAAATATCAAATATTCCTTAAGGGCCTAAACAAGCCCAATATCAAAGTACGACATCTGTACATCATTTTTGGTGTCATGATACCTGCATGTATATTTTACATTTTAGGACAATAACCTAACTTTGATATGAGTGAAAGGTGCTGCCGTGAGACTAGCCACGTCTGATTGTTCTGGACTCCAGGGGGCTTATTCACAAAGCATCCGTTAACTTACAGACCCGTTAATATCTCCGTTAAATTTCCGTTAATTTTAATTCGTATTCACGAAGCCCCCTGTATTCAACGCACCTTTTTAGGTATGTTCCGTTAAAACCGAAAAATAACGGGTACGTTAACGTACCCGGTAAATGGTCACTTGACAGTATTTGCTATACAAATAACTAAAGTGATTCGAAATCAGCAATTTTTATAATATTCGGTACAAAAAACATTTGTATCAAAATTTTGGTATACAGTTATGACAGTCCTACATCCTGTCGATACTGCACTGATATTTTGGCCTTGCACAAGATAATGCTTTGCTGAGACTGTCTATGACGTTTTTTTTACCAAATCCGTTGGATGTGTCCTGATTGATACTTTAATCTGGGAGAACATGATTTATTTATTAGTTGTGATTGTCTTTGAACTAGATTTTAGTAACTGAAAGTACTCTTTGGTCGTTACTTTATGTCTACTGTCTGTACATGTTAGTTGGACAAGTCTGGTGAATCCAGTAATTTCAAACTGTACTTTTTCACAGTTTGATCATATGTTGTGCTATTACACCTCTGTCCCAGGTTAGTGGAGGATTGAAATCTCACAAACATTTTACCCCGCCACATTCTTTATGTGTCTGTCCA